AGAAGGTACTCACAACAGTTTGGGAAGTGACCTGGGATCTCTACTGACTAGACAAGCTTATGGTCTTGGTTAGAAGTGTAGCTCTGACTTTCAAAAGAACATGAGGTCTCAAACATCTCTCAGGGGGCTAAAGCACAAGAAAGAAATCCTGCTGAATGGTCTAATAGAGGTCACACCTTGTGAGATTGGATACTGGGGTCCTGCTTACTTCATCATGTCTTGGTCTAATAACTGACTGAAATGTGGGCAAATGAGCTGAGGACAGAATTCCAGGCTCCTCCTGCCTCTTCTCCTGGATCCATGTGTGTGACTGATCCTGCAGAGCATGAAGAGTGCCCATCCGCATGTTGTGACTTTTCACTAGATGAAGAAAACTTTCTTCAGGGGCAGAGTCTGCAACTTCAAATCCCCAGAGGCTAAGTCAAGCTCTGACTTCCAGAGCAGAGGAGTACCCTAAGGAGCCTGGCAAACCATGGTCTTCATGATAACATGGGTATCAACAGCTGAAGCATTGCTGGGTGTTCATGTCAGTGTGATTAAGCAAAGGCTTGTAAGGATGGTTTTCATCAGGGCACGTCAATGCTGGAGTGTTCTCAGCACCTCAGCTCTGAAGGCTCACTGCTGTCATGAACACAGGCACCTGGAACTGAAGTTGCAACCTGAGGCCTCAAAATGCTATTTCATGTATCTCCTTAGGAGGTTTTAGGTATCTCAGGGAGATGTTTATCAAAGGTCCAGTTTGGCCTAGGGAGGATAATCCCCCCGGTTGCTCTGTGGGCAGTGAGGGCAGCAGGAGCCTGCAGTTCAGTCCAACCCACCCATGCCACAGTACGTGGCCAGACACGTGGTCTGTGCCTTTCCACTCTCTGTCATGGGGTGCCACAGCTCTCAGCTGTCCTTTGGAAATCCCTGCAAGATTATTTTTGGCAATAGTCTGAGAATCCAGAACCTGTGTTTGGAAAGACAATTTAGGGACTGTTAAAGATGCTTTGGAGGAAGATCTGGGGAGGCAAGCTTTGCTCAGAGCTGGCATGCCCAGCAGCCCATCTCCCTCATCAATGTCTTAGGCCTCTTCAGAAGTGAAGGGTACCATAGCTGAGCTCTGTCCACACTTCCCACTTCAGCTCAGCAACAACACAGGATTGCAACAGACAGTCCTTCTTATTCATCTCTGTTTTCCCATCTGATCTTTGCAGACCAATCAGAAACAGTTCACCAAACAAAGATAAGCAATATCCCAGAGAACTTTAAGAAATTACTCCTTATCACCCCTCCTGAGGATAGGCTCAACGGTCAAGGCCACAGTTAAATCTTCCTTTTCTTGTAAAAGTTAACTGAAGTTAGTTATTAAAGTGCTGGCAGTATTTAGGGAGGTTCCGAAGTGAAGAAGAGCACAAGATACCTGCACTGCCTGTGAAAATTTCAGGGGCATCTTTATCCAAAAAATCTTGGTGTGGTTTCTTCTGAAGAGCTTCCTGGAAGATATACCAGGTACAACTTAAAATTGTCATTTTAGGTATGGGATATGTGAAGTGATGCTTATAAATGAAATGCTTCTAGTAATGTGTTTTATTTTTTGTAAAATGTAAAATTTCCTTGGTGGAATTTCTTTGTATTTTTCAATTGTTTATATTGCAGAGAAGTTCAATTTGTGAGTGATAAACATAGATTTAAAAGTGAGATGGATCGTGTTAATATTTTATTATTCAATTAAAATGACATATTTTTGTGTACTTCTTAGTCAATATGTAGGAAAAGTCAATTAAGGGAAAAAGTGTCCTTTTGTTAATCCTCTTAACAAAATGGCACACATGAAAATACACATTTCCAAGATTTCATAGAGCTGAGAGATTAGCAGTGGAGTTGGAGATTTTTACGCATGAGAAATGATAATGCTTTTAATTTCTGACCATGGGAACAAGATCAGAGGCTATATGGATTAAAACTGAACCAGAGTGTTGTCTCTAGAGTTCTATTTCAGATCTAGTCTTGGTCAATAGTGACTGAAAGTTGTAACCACTCAATAGTTGCGCAGTGTGAGCTTGGTCTGTGCTGGTGTTCCTCATGTGTGAGTGGACACATTATAGAAGTCATCAGAAGAATTGGTTTTTCCCCCCAAGGAGCCCAAGGCACTCTAGAGAGGCAATGTGGGTTACTGGAGTACAGACTTCTCTTTTGAGGAATTTGTGAAGGACATTGGCCTTCACCATGCTTGTACTTTTCACGATATCCTCCTTATCTTTAAAACATCTAAAATAAGTAATGACTAACTGATAAAAAACCCCTCCCTATACTGAAGGCATCCCATCTTTTTAAAGATATATGGGAAGAAAGTGAGAGTGGGCAAGAGGAAGGCAATACTGGCTGTGTTGTGGTATCTGACAGCTGCTGACAGAGCCTTGGAAGAGGGAATGAGACAGGAGAAGCTTGCCTAGCACCAGTGGTTATCTATCTGCAGCAAGGTAGCACTGTGTGGTCCTGTTTACCTGCCAGGGAACAGGCTGCAGGCACCTTCCACTGCACTGCAGGTGCCTGGGCTGGCTTGGTTAAACCTCACTGAAGCACAGCTCTGTGGTGTTTAATGCAGACTTCAGCTTGGCAAGGCTCCTGGTCCCCCCTGCAGCTCTAAGCCATCAGACCCCAAGAAAGTCTGTAAATTGGGGCATTCAGGAGGTAAAAAATACATGCAATGAGACCAGCACTAATAAACCAAAGGATGTTTAGAGAGTTGTGAAGAAGATATTGTATCCTCCCTGAAATTGGTGCAGTAAGTTTTGCCTGACGAAAGAAGAACGGCTGGGCAAGGGGCAGGAGGGACAACTGAAGTAGTCCCAAAAGCTACAGCAGCTACAGCACTGAGGAAAATCTGAAATGAAAGAGTCACCCATACACTTCTTTTATTTTTATGGCTTATGAACTTTTCAAAGGGTACAAATAGTACATCTTGTGCCCTATAATGTAATGGACAAAACTATTCCACTTTCAGCAATATCCCTCTTTGTGACATGAAGTCTAAAAGGCAGATACACAGACTAGGAAACAGAGCAATTTAAAAACCTTTAACAGATGAAACAATTTCTTGCAAATCTAAGTAACCACGATTTATCAGGGAATAAACTGAACTAACTAATTTTTTCATTGAAATTTTATCAGCCTCAGTTTTGGAGCTCTGATCCCAACAGAGGGAGGCATAGCAGTGTAAAATTACAGATCAGAGTATTATTTTAACTGGCTTTGGATCAGTGTTTTGAATGAGCTTAGATTTTGAGCATTTGCTTGCTAGAATAATTGCCTGCCAGTTTTTGGAAAATGTTACAGATCAACTTTTTTTAATGTTAAAACAAAGAGTAAAAATGTTTAACCCATTGCCAAAATAATGAATCCTTAGTGCAAGAATAGTATGTCAACAAAATATCTAAGATGTTTATTGATACTGTTTGGACTTCTACACATGTCTATGAATTTCCACAGAATGAACAACAAGGAAACTAAAATTAAATCACTTCAAATAGGTCAATAAGAGGCTCTGAGCTGTATCAAAGTTTTAAGATGGGATTCACATTTTAGTGCCAAGATTGTCATAGATTAAAAGCTTTTCATCTGTTCATAACTATGCAAGCAGCTTTGTGCCACATTAAAATCTGTGCTGTGATATTTCCAAATGTTGAGTACTCACTGATCTGAGTTAGAAATGCATGTAGGGTGTTTCAGCAAGAGTCAGATGATAGACATGAGCAAGGAACTGGTGCTGGTCAGGCATCTGACAAGAGACCACCAGCCAGCACCAAGGCACTGTGGAGCATTTTCATTCAGGAAGAGAAAATAAATTAAAAAATTCTATTATCAGTGTCCCAAAAGACTACTTGCTTCCTACAGCACATCTTCATCTCTAAGTCAAAACAAAATAGAACAGGATCAAACAGATTAGTTCCAGTTGGAAGGATCTTACAATGATCATCTAGTCCAACTGTTGCTACAAAGAGCAAGTTCCACAGCTTCTGTCTGGGACTAGTGCTATATTAAACATTTAATCACGGCTTCAACTGAGAGAAATATTTTTAGACAATACAAGTTTAAGATGAATTTAATGTGGGAAGAATGTGTGGCATAATGAGAAATGTAACAGCACAGTGAGCAGCACAGTGATGGCATCAATTAATTGCTGCAAAATACCCAGGGGTATTGACTGAAATGAGTGATGAGCAGATTCATTCTCATGTGTAATGTGGGCTCCAGGGGTCATTTCTGGAGTGACCCAGGACAGTTTCTCTTCAGCACAAACATGCAAATGTGGGGTGGGACAAGGCAGAAAATAGCATTCAGGTAAGACATTGCAACAATTGTTCGTGAACATGCAGCAGAGGAGAAGCAGTCCAGACAATCTGTGGAAATAAATCTTACAAATAACAAGCAGCAATATTATGCTTTTTTACTACTGAGCCTGATCTTGTCACACAAATCCAGCCCAATACATTCAGCCTTGTCTCTGAATCCAAGAGAGGATGGCTGAGCCCTGTCTGGTCTCTGCCTTTCCTGTATGTGTGGGATACAGGGAGCTCCCAGCCCTCCTAGCAGTGCCACAAGGAGAAACTGCTTGGGATCTGCTTATTTGTTCTTTAGGAGATTAATTTCCTTTGAGGGAGGAAGTTTTTGATTGTACACGGCTGAATGAGAGATAAATTAACTCAAAAACCATCTTGTCCACTTTTTGGCTGCATCTTTCGAAAGAAATACTTCATGCTCCAGTGAAACACTGCTCTGCAGTAGAAGGAGGAGCAGGGCAGGAGATCACCTTGGCAAAGTGAAGTGGGTGTCTCAACCATCCCTCTTTTGATCTTCAAAGGTGGAAACGCTCAGTTTGGAGCTCACTCAGCTATGCTATGGCTACCCGCCCCACAGTACATAAGGAGCTAACCCTGTTCTTCATTTCAGGTTTTTAAGTGCCTGGAGCAGAGAGGAGCACACACAAGTAACCATCCTATCCTGACATTTCAGGAGAAATGGTTGAACCTGTGGGTAACCATTATGTTATAGCCAGACCTGTGTACTCGGAGAATGCATTCAATGAAGAGCATGAGAAATTGCACAGATACCATAAAACCTTTTGGGATCACCTGAAACTCTATTTTAGGTAAGGAGACTTTTTTATTTTTTTTTTTAGTTAGATCTAAGAAACAGTCCTGACTGATTTTGGACAGCATGAACTTCATTGGGACAGTGTCCATCTCCCATTCCAACATAGCAAGTGAAAATTCATTAACTAAATTCAATGTCAGATTTTTCTAATGGATTTTGACTGCTGTTACCCTTAGAAGTCTTCCTACAGCTGTATGTAAGGTAGCTTCTCTTTTTATGGGCCTTTGGCAGCACAGACTCTAGGAAGCCCTTACTGTGTCCTTTCAGTACTTAAAGGGGTCCTGTAAGAAAGACATACTCAGGCTTTTTACCATGGCCTGTTGCAGCAGGACAAGGGATGGTGATTTTAAACTAAAAGAAGGTATATTTGGACTGGGTATCAAGAATAATTTTTTATGATGAGGGTGGTGAGGTACTGGCACAGGTTGCCCAGAGACATGATGGATGCCCTGTCCCTGGAAATATTCAAGGTTAGGTTGGGCAGGGCTCTGAGAAACCTGATCCAGTGGGTGGCATGCCTGCTTACTGGGGTGGAGGTTTGGATTAGATGGCCATAGAGGTTCCTTTCCAACTCCAAGCCATTCTAGGGTTCTATGAGATTTTGGTTTGGAAAGGAGCTCTGAAGGCCACTGCATATACCTTGAAGCACAGATGGCAGTGCAGGTTGATCAGGGCTGTGTCTGGGTGAGATTTTGACTTCTGGCAGCCAGAACCTGAATCCTTCCCCTTTCCTCACCTCTCTGAAACAGGCTGCAATTCAGCCAAGCCATTCACTGACAAAATTTTTTCCCCTTGTGCCTTTGCAGCTGCTCCCCACAAAGGGCCAAAAAAATTGCTTTGGGTTTGTTTCCAGTTGTTTCCTGGCTGCCAGCGTACCGCTTCAGGGAGTGGGTCCTGAGTGACATCATCTCTGGCATCAACACAGGGCTCGTGGCTGTGCTGCAAGGTACCTCTGGGAAATGTGTGTCCTGACACAGCCTGCTAAGCCAGGTGCCAAGGCACTGCTGGCTTCAGCCTGCAACACACACATCACCTTCCCTGGGCCTCTGTCTTTACAGGTCTGGCCTTTGCTTTGCTGGTGAATGTCCCCCCCAGTTATGGACTCTATGCAGCATTCTTCCCTGTCCTGGTCTATTTTATCTTTGGCACATCGAGACATATCTCAGTGGGTGAGTTCAGGCACACCACTTACCCTCCTCAGTGATGAACTACACGCTGCCTCCTCAGATCTTTTAACAAATGCCTTGTGCTGCTCAGGTCCCTTCCCTGTCCTGAGCCTCATGGTGGGAGGAGTCGTCACCAGGCTGGCCCCTGATGACAGCTCTGGAAATGGCAATTCCACAAATACCTCAGCGATAAACGATGAGAGGGTGATGGTGGCTGCATCTGTAACCTTCCTTTCTGGAGTTTTTCAGGTTGGTGAATGTATGTGTGTGTGCACACCTATGTGAACAGATGGAGGGTGGCCTGACCTTCCTCTCTGGTTTCTGCTGTTCTAGTCACCAAAGTAATCCTCTTCCACTTTCCATGTAGCCCACCCTGGCTCACTGATCAGGAGACATTTCTTCCCTCCAGTGGCCAGGCACTCACATGTGCTGTGAAATCCTTGGTTTTGCACAGGCCTGAGCCCTCAGCCCGTACACCTTCAACCTACACCTGCAACAAAAAACAATCTGCTGGATAAGAAAGAAAAAGCTGTGAAAGTAATGTGAATGATGCAGATGCACCAAGAGGAGTAAAAGTTCTGCCTTGCAATAGTAAAATATCTGTATTTGGTTGTTTTTTTTTTTAAAAAACCCATTTATCCTTACTCCCTAATAAGGAATTCCTACAGTTCCTCCCTTCCTGACATACTAATATATTTGTTGCTTCATGAAACACTTGTACTATGTGAAGATATAGGAACTGAAAACCCTAGAAATAAAGATGTATATTTGAGCTATAAAATAAAAGGAATGGGTTTCAACTGCTGTAGCAGTTATTCTTACTAGTATTATGCCCTCTGTTTCTCAATGTCAGCTTTTGTTGCAAGTCTGGTGAAGGTACATTCCTTAATCTCTGGATGGATAAGATTTGGTGAAAATCTTTGCTTTCATTAGTACGGCTGTCTTTCTTTCAAAGATTGCTTAAAAATACAAATGAATCCCACTGACCTATGCTCATTTTGTGTTTCAGTTGCTTCTGGGAATTTTCCAATTTGGATTCATCGTTATTTATCTATCACAATCATTAATTAGTGGTTTCACAACTGCTGCAGCTATCCACGTTTTGGTATCTCAACTGAAATTCATGTTTCAGCTACCTGTCCCTGGATTTAATAAACCATTTGGCATCATCTATGTAAGTGCTAGGTGTTCATTGTTTGCTAATGCTATTGATATACCTGGGATGTATTTCTGACTGTGTATCATGAGGCAGTAATAACAACTCAGCTAAAAAATGCAAAGCAGGAGGAAAAACAAGAGAAAAATGAGAAAATGTTATTAGTATTTAGCCAACATTTAAATTTATTACCAAGCACCAAGTTATACCCCATTGGGACAATTAGGTAATATTTACTATTTTGTGTTGGCATATTTCAATTAAGCATTCAACTCTGCTTTAGGGATTTAATTATTCATTTTTGCTGGACTGATATTATACATATTTAATTTGTATATGACACTGTGAGGGCTGTTAGATGAGAAAGGAGAGACAAGAAGAACAGGAAGGAAGGAGTGGAGAAAGGCACCTGCCCAGCAATGCCATTGCTCTCATTTCCTATCATGGGCTTGCTTGTTGTTCCAACCATCCCTCAGGGGCAAATATGGGGGAGAGGGTCACAAGTTAGTGGAAAAGGTCTTTTGCAAATGCTTCTACCATTTGGCAGATGCACATACATTCAGGGGGGCTTGCAGTCCACATCATACCACAGGGAATAAATCCCAAACAGCACAATCCTTGGAGCCGTTCAGATACAGGTTCTACTGGAAGGGGTAGTGCTACTGTGCCAGGGCAGAACCGTTGCTAAAGCACGTGTTTCTTCCTGATTCTGCAGACTCTGGAGAGCATTTTCAGCCAGATCACAAAAACAAACGTTGCTGACCTTGTCACATCACTGGTTGTCTTGCTTATTGTGTTCGTGGTGAAAGAAATGAACGATCGATACAAGGAAAAGTTACCGGCTCCCATCCCGATCGAGCTCCTTGTGGTGAGTCACTTCCTTTGATTTTGCAATTGCTCCCTGTTATGGCATGGGAAGCAGAGTTTTAACTATTTCTTCTCCTGTTATCCACTAAATGATCAGTGTTATCATTTTACCTATAAAGAAAAATTTACAGCATTCAGGAGCTATTGTGAGATGTTTTACTTCCACATAGCTGTTCTTAACGGAACATATCTGTGGTGTTGTAAACTATGAATTTTTTCCTTGGACAGAATTGGCTCTGACAGCAGTCAGCTGCAGTCTCACAGCTGAGGCCCTTCTGCACCACACCTGCAAGCAGCTACTGAAATCCTGGATATCTATAGCCACAGACAAAATTATTTTGCCCCCCAGCAGCAGAAGGTTTTGTCCATTCTGAACAGCAGAGGGGTGGAGGAAGCTTCACAGGGGCAGCAAGCCCCTAAAATTCTGGAGGATGTATAGACTCAAGCAGCACTTGTTTTCCCCCACAGTCATTGCAGAACCTTGTTAAAACATACCTGGTTTACTAGGTGGGATGATCTCTGTTGTTAGTAAGATATTCTGTTACAAACTGTGTGATTTATGAATGTAAACCCATATTGGTAAGGTCATTCAGGAATGACATCTAAAAAGCAAAGGGATATGAAAACCTGGGGCATAATTTTGCCAGTAGTGATGAGGGTGGACAGTGTGTAAGAGAAGGAAGGCAATGGTGTTTCATAGATTCTTCACACTCTTGCTTTAATGTGCCTAATGGAGGTGTGGTTTATTATCTTTCAGACAATCTTAGCAGCATTGATTTCCTATTTTGTCAACCTTGAAGAAAAATTTGAAGTAGCTGTTGTTGGAAAACTAGAGGAAGGGTAAGTGACTTACAATTCACCGGTGGAGCAAGATGTTCTCTTTGGTTTGGCAGCGTTGAACAAGTTCAGCTATGTTTCTGATTAAAATTATCTGCTTTATCTTCTTCAGTCAGTAAATAAACATTTTTCTCTCAATGATATGACACACTTTCAGTACACAGACTCTAGAGCACATCTTTTACTTATCAAGGAGTACACTGAGACACGAAATAATTGTCCTTCACTTTCTGAGACATCTGGTGAGCAGGAGCTTGATGTTTGTCCTTTTTATTGAACTACTTACTCCTGAACTCCTCCGTTTCCCTCACAGCACATGCACAGTTCAGCAGCCACCACCAGCCCTGGGAAGCCACCAGGACCCTGCACCATTCTCCTGCTTGGTCCCATGACCAGCCATCAGTACCAGTACCATTATCCTCCAGAGGCCTCAACATGTGCCCGTCCAGGACTATAAAGATTATTTCTCCACATATAGAATATATAGCCTTCATCTGGCTATGCCAGAATTTTGGCATAAAGAATCACGTGGCACATGTCAAGTTAAAAAGAGGGAGGAAGACATTTACTAGGACAGCTTTATTTACTTATTTATTTACTAGGAGATCATTATTTATTTATTTATTTACTAGGACAGCAGAGTGAGTCTGGGGTGGTCTCTGTAGCCCCAGGGGTGTTAGTGGGTGAAGCTTGCAGAGCAGCAGCTATTTCTGCTCATGAGTCTCCTTTCTTCAGATTTCAGTTGACTGAAAAAAAAAAAAAGAAGGAGGAAAAAGAAGTCCAGAGAGGAATTCTCCCTAGGATCTGCAAAAGACCCCTAGCCATCTCCTTAATGAGTTGAGGATTTTGTCTTTCAGGTTCCACGCGCCGGTTGCACCTGATGTAGGCATCCTCCAGAAGTGTATTGGTGATGGCATTTCCATCGCAATCGTTGGGTTTGCAGTAGCCTTCTCCGTGGCTAAAGTGTATTCCATCAAGCATGACTACCCAATAGATGGCAACCAGGTAGGCAAATAACACAGAGATAAATATACTGCATTTATCAATGGGAAATAAGTCATTTTAGGAGAGCTTTGCCTTGTGAATGACTGTCACAAACCAGGCTCTTAAGGACAATCTCTGTTATTTTTATTTCAGGAACTAATTGCTTTTGGGCTGGGTAATATACTTGGTGGATCGTTCAAGGGATTTGCCTCCAGCACTGCTCTGTCAAGATCAGGTGTGCAGGAGAGCACAGGAGGCAAAACACAGGTACAGAAGACAACAAGCCATGATGGCATTTAATGAAAGACAGCTCTTTTTTTCCTAGCTAACCATCATGCCTGTGGGCACTTATTCATTGTGGAATTGTTCTCTCTTGCAGATTGCTGGCATTATCTCATCTGTCATTGTTTTGGTTGTGATCTTGGCCGTTGGTTTTCTCCTGGCACCATTACAGAAGGTATTCACTGGTTTCATCTAATGCTTCCTCTTGCTTCCCAAAGACAGGGCTGCTCTCTGAGCACACTGAGAGTGTTCATAGGCTTCAGTGGGAGCCAAAAAGGTTTGAAAAGCTTGGTTCTTCTTCCCATGTTATGCCAGAAAGGACCCCTACATCTGGTCCCTGAAAGGGAACACAAGTACCCAAACACCAAAATCCAACTTTCAGGTGCCAAAAATAAGTGAGATTTACAGCTTCAGTCAGACCCAGCACTGCACCATAGCTGAGGATATTCCAACAGCAGTGTACACTGGGAGCAGCTCCCTGGCCTTTCAGCTGCACTTTGGCCCTATTTGTATGATCTTTTAATTCCTAATGTTTTATATTTTCTTTGCTTACTTAAACAAGGAATATGTGTTTTGGTCTTTTTAACAGTCAGTCCTTGCATCTTTGGCTCTTGGCAATTTGAAAGGAATGCTCATGCAGTTCAAGGAAATAGGCATCCTCTGGAGAAAGGACAAGTGTGACTGCGTAAGTTGTTTCACAAGCATCAGAAGTTAAATGCTCTGAAAAAGTAATCTGTCATACAAATGTTATTTTTTTTTAATTCCAGTTTTACTTCACTAAACAGAAAATACAATATTTCCGTACCTTTTTTACTGGTATATCCCTTGTTAATGTTTTCCATTTTGTCCCATTTATTTGGAGTAGATTCTCACTCTTAACTTCATTTTCATCCATTTCATCAAGATCTGTTAAAATAGTACATTATATAAAGTCAAATAGAGAAGACAGTTACAGAAAATGCCTAAATGACAGAAAATATCCAAATGTATGAACATTCAGGACATTTCTCACAATCACACATTGTGTAATATGGAAGATACACAACAACAAACAAATGAAAACTGAGACTTGAAGGGTTTAGTCCAAATGGTAAAGATTGTGGCTAGAGGGCAGGACTCACTACCTCTCAGAAAATTTAGGCTCATAAATGGTTCCAGGCCTCAGTTTTCCCAGCTGTCAAACTATTTGCCCCATGAAAATGCTTTGAACTCTGTGGCTAAAAGTTATTCAGTATTATCGAGTAATTTATCAGTTGTGTACACTCACAGCACCTATATTTGCACATTTACAACTCTCAGCTTTACCAGATTTCTGATTGACTTCTAATCTTGCCTTTCTGCTGGATTTTCATTAAGCGTTCACTGAACCACCTATACCATTTTAAGCTTTTATTGTCTAGAAATTGTTGTCCCTAGAAACACTCCCTGGTGCTGGTTGGTGACTCTGGCCTTGTTTTACAAGAAAAATAAAACCTTACCGAAAGCAGATAGATATGCTGGACCAGATCTGAGATCTATTTCTGCTCTCACCCTGAGCTCATGCTCCAGGTTCTTGGCATGTTTATAATGTTGACATCCACTGTGTCCCTACAGATTATATGGGTGGTGACTTTCTTAGCTGCCATCTTTCTTGGCCTGGACATTGGGCTAGCAACAGCTGTGGCATTCCAGCTGCTGACCGTGGTGATCCGCTCCCAGATGTGAGTACTTGTTGAATGCAATGGCATCCCAGGGCCTCCTGTTATAAGTTTTCTCCCTCTGTACAGAGAAGGGCAACAGCCCTGTCTGTGCCTTGGTCTGTCCAGCAACCATGCTTGGAAAAATAATTTACAGGCATAAGCCTTTGGATGTGGGGGCTTGCCTCAGTGTGCCCCCCCAGCTGAGATGGTTTCATTTGATCCTTCCCAGCCCCCCTGTTCTGGTGTGGGACACAAATAATTGTGTGTGTGTAAATAATTGTGTGTGTGTGTTTGTTCACAGTCCAAGCTGCACTGTTTTGGCCAATGTTGGGAGAAGTAACATTTACAGAAACAGGAAGGATTACACTGATGTAAGAAATGTCTCATTTCTTTTACCACCTGCTGCACTTGTGCTTTTGTAGCAAACATTGCCACTGACACTTTTGCTTCATTTTACAGATCTATGAGCCAGAGGGAGTGAAGATTTTCAGATGCTCCTCTCCGATATTCTTTGCTAATATTGAATTCTTCAGAGAGAAACTGATCACTGCTGTAAGTGTCCGGGGCTGTTCTTAACATATGAATTGTGTGACACTTTAAGGTGGATACAGTTTCCCAATAATTGCTATATATGCAGCCATTCCACAGTTCAAGGGTGAATTTTCTTTATACTGTTGCCACTACTGTAATATAACAAGTATGCACACAACTCTGAGAAACAGAACAGCCTGACTCATGCTGAACTTACACCACAGAAATGTTTATACCAAATATATACTTGTAGCATAACAATATATATTTCAAGAAGAAAGGAGTGTAAACATAAATAATATAAAGGAAATTTTGTTTTATTTTATTCTATTTGCTCTTGTATTATTTACACACAATAAATTTTAGTTTACTTCTCTTGCCCCAAGAACCTAACCGCAACAGTCAGAAGAATGCCAAATGGAATCATTCTCTCAAAGAGGTCTTAACATCTTTCATAACAACCTGGTGAATGCAGCCAGTGTTTCCATAACCAGCACAGAGATCCAGGACTCCTGAGGCCCCACTGTGTGAATGAGGCCCACCATCCCCAGCCCAAACACAATTTGCACCATAACCTCCCCTTCCTGCTGCTCTTAGTGGGGAGCTGATAAGCAGTGACTCCCCTGAGCACTCATAATGAGCAGTTCATTCTTCACATGAGGGACTGAAACTGGCAGAGGAATAAGGGAATCTGGCACATTTGGTTCTCCATGTGCTTGGCTTTCACCTCAGAAGAGCCTGAAGCTTTTTTTCTGTGAGGGCAGATGTTCACACCACTCTTCTCTACAAATACAGATACTTCTAACACCTTTCTCCTCTACACACTAGATGGATGATGCAGAAGACTTGCAGGAATTCAGTATTTTAGCCTAATTTTTTTATTAGCCTAATTTTCCTGCCAGCTAATTCTGTTAAAACCAGCTCAGAGTTTCAAGAGGCATATGCAGGCAACATGATAAAATCTGGCTTCTTCGGGAAAAAGAATGGGTGAATGACCCACACTGAAGTCAGGAGGCACAAAGCAGATAGAAATCATGAGTTCTCAGATCTTGGCTACCTGGCTGACCACTTCATAATGCAGATGAGCAGGAGATCCCAGCACTGTGCCAGACTGCTGGAATTACTGGACTGTGCTAAGCACTGTCACTGCTATAATGCTGTCCATGCTGGTGTCCTAAAGCAGTACAGTTAGCCCTGCCTCATTTGCAGCCATTCCTGTAGACATCCTTCCAGCCTAGAAAGAGTCCTTGCTTGGAATTTGTGAAAAGTGGTAAACAACATCAATTCAAACTATGGTCATCATGACTGTAACAAAAAACCTTATGAGGTGCTTTGTCCTTCCCCTGGTGTCACAGAGGTGTTTTTTTGTTTAATTATTCAAATTGCTCGTTTTGCAGGTTGGCTTCAACCCACTGAGAGTCCTGAGGAAACGCAATAAAGCTCTGAGGAAGATTAGGAAGATGCTGAAGAAAGGACAGCTGCAAGTGACACCGGTACGTAAGGCAAGCCCCCAGGGTGAGGGGGGTGTTAAGCAACCAAGCTCCCTGTTTTACATGGCAGAGATGGACCTCATATCCTCCCTTCTTAATTGGATACACCATACCCCAAGTTGCTACTTCATAAGCACATTTAAAAACCAAGATTTTAAATGGTTCTCACAGTTAGAGACCTAAAGATTTACCATAGGCAGAGCTTGTGCGTGTCCACTGGAGCTTTGTTTGGCAACAAATGGCAGGATCAGATCCCACAGAAGTGAATATCTTTCTGCATTAATGGTAGGATAAAGCAGGTTTTCTACCAGCTCAAATCCTGCATGTCTTCTGTTGACTTATTCCAAAACTACTGAATTAAAATGTGTCTGGCAACTGGCTTCAGGAAACAATAAAAAACTGTCATTAAGTGATTATGATGATGATTAAATAATTTCCATATTTCTCCAGACAAGGAAGAGACAGAACTTTCCAGGTGGGTCCTGATCTGTCTCATGGGAAGATCAGTTGTGCATTGCCATTACCCTTGCCCTTGTGTGAGAAGTACCACTACCCTGGCTGGGTATTAAAGAAGAGAACTAATGATGATATTTTTCTATGTCAACACAGAAGGGCTTGATTTGCATGGCTAACCCTACATATGAGTCAGAGGAAGAGTTGGACAACAACAAGATAGAGGAGCTGGACCAGCCCACCATCATGACAGACTTGCCCATTCGGATCAACTGGGGCACTGACCTCCCCCCTGGCATCACTGTGCCCCAGGTCAACCTCCACAGCATCATTCTGGATTTCTCATCCGTGTCCTTCCTTGATTTTTCTGCCATGACAGTCCTCCGAAAGGTAATCACAATTCATAAGACAAACAGTGATCACATGAGAGAAAACCTTACAAATGCAGTTACACTTGAGGGATACACATGAGCAAAGGGATGGCGCCCAGAGGGACCTGGGCAGGAGTGGGCCCACCTGAACCTCATGAAGTTCAACAAGGCCAAGTGCAAGGTGCTGCAGGTGCATCAGGACAATCCCCAGTATCGATACAGACTGGGGAATAAATGAATTGAGAACAGTCCTTCAGAGGAGGAGATGGGGATACTGGTGGATGAGAAGTTGGACATGACCTGGCAATGTGCACTCAGAGACCAGAAAGCCAATCATATCCTGGGCTGCATAAAAAGAAGTATGACCAGCAGGTGATTCTTCCCCACTCTCTGAGAGATTCTACTCCACTCTCATGAGACCTCACCTGAGGTAGGTGCCACCTGTGGGGTCCCCAACACAGGAAAGAGGTGGACATCTTGGAACAGGTCCAGATGAGAGCCATGGAAAGGACTAGAGGGCTGGAGCATCTCTCCTGTGAGGAAAGGCTGAGAGAGCTTGAGTTGTTCAGCCTAGAGAAGAGAAGGCTATGAAGGCTATACTATTAAGTGTGGCCTTTCCATACTTAAAGGGAGCCTATAAAAAAGCATGGAGAGGTACTTCTTACAGGGGTATACAGTGACAGGACAAGAGGCAATGGCTTTAAAATGAAAGAGGACAGGTCCAGGTTAGAATAAATCTTTTACTGTGAGGGTGGTGAAACACTGGAGCAGGTTGCCCAGAGAAGCTGTGGATGCTTCATCCCTGAAACGCTTCATCCCTCAATCCAGAAGTTGGATGATGCTCTGAGCAACCTGCTCCAGTGTAAAGTGTCCCTGTCCAGGGCATGGGTTTGGAACAAGATGATCTTTAAGTCCCTTCCAACCAAAACCATTCTATGATTCTATTCTGTGTTTGTAGTCTGCTTCTTAAAGGCATTGCTACACGGGCTGGAAGGCCAGTGGCAAACCTTGAGTTTATGTGAATTTGAATGTGCATTTTCTATAGAAAATATTTAGGAAATAGTTTAAATAATCAATATAAATTGTCTTGGAATTAAAGTGTTGGCTGTGGTACCCTTTCTTCACCTGGTATGGTTTTGGGAAGCTTTGCAGAAATGCAGATATGAAATATGGCTTTAAACACCCAGCTGGAGTTGGAGCATTGGAGTTCCATTTCCGCTCCTGCTTTTGCTTGCCCGGGTGACCTTGAACAAAAGCAAAAGGCACAACATTTTCAACAGTAGCAGCTCCAGTTAACTGTCTGGAGATACAGAGGGTGTGTATTTCCATAGGAAATAAAGACCCACCATGACAGTGGGAATTATAGTTCTGCTCAAGCTCCCAGTTACAAAAATCTCCCCCAGAGGCTTGTGAAGTAATTTTTTTTTAGTTTCATGATGTATTATGTAGATACAACAAAGCCATACAACTTATGAAAGATCACCTTCTTCTCTGTGAGCTAAACCTTTTCAATACTGCCTCTTTTCAAAAGGCTGAGCCACCCCTGTCTGCAGCCATGTGAAGAGATTGTCCTGCCTCTATGTGCAACAGAATTTGAGTCTAGATCCACTTACCGTCATAGATCTTAAATATCATAGAGTGGCTGGTATATTTGCTGTGGCTAATCACAGCAAATGGTAATCAGCAAGCCCAGCAGAAACTAAATGGTGCCTCCTTCTGGTTTAACAGACTTTGAAAGAATTTGTCCGGCTCGACATTGACGTTTACATCACTGGGGCATACGGTGAGTACTTGCCTTTGCACTGGCTTCCCCACAGATGCCTTGTCCCACTGCCTCCCCTGCTGACCACCGAGTATGGCTGTGGAGGATCACCCAGTTTTACCTTCCAGTCTTGGATAGCAAACAGGTCCCACTAAGTGGAGGTGTTGTCTCTCCCAGGCTGTCCCCAAAATCCTGGGACTTTGTGTGATGGCTCCTTTTACCTCTGACCCCTGCTGTGTTGTACAGCTCTGGGCTGCAGGACCCACCATCATGCACCCTGGGCTAGGCATTAAGTAAGAAAAGGGGCTCCAATTCCTTCCTGCCTGGCATAGAGCAGGGAACTACTGATGGGCACTTGTGTTCCATCCTCTTGATGTCTGTAAAGCCATCTGCTCTATTAAATAAAACAGTGTATTATACCAGCAACTCCCACGTTCACTCAGTGGGCATGCTCAGGATACACAATTTCTTCCTTTTTAAGGCCTGCAGGTCACTTGTGCTTTGATTTTGTTACCTCACAGAGGGCCTCCTGGACAAACTGGAGAGAAGTGCATTTTTTGATGAAGAGATTAAGCCATCCATGTTTTTCCTCACCATTCATGATGCGGTTTTACACATTTTGCTGAAGAAGGACATAGCCAACTCTCCCAAATTAAAGCTTGCTGAGGTAACACTACAGTCTTCATCTTTAATTATCTAAGTGCCTTTTTAGTATTGCCAGGCTCCCAGCAGCACCCTGCACAGCTACAGCTGTGTGTGCTACACTGTCTGTATTTTGAAAAAGATAGTCATTAAAACTCAGCTGGTCTCCAAGCAAATTGAAAAACAAGAGTGGCTGCTGGTTCAGGTGTGTGAAAAACCATTTGTGAAAGGAGTGAATAATTCCCACTGGTAGCTGGTCTGGCTGTGGACTTCCAGTCACCTCTTTGGGAAGAACACAGTGCCCATCCACCAGCAGTCCTCTGTGGTCACCCACCCAGCAGAGACTGCTCAATTTGCTGCAGTGGCTCTTGAAAGGCAGACTTTATGCTGCTTGCATATAGGCTTTCCAGCCCTGTCTTCAAAATGAGTGCTAAAGTGGTGTGAATAAATTAGTACTGCCAGATTTGGTGATGGCCTTTCTGGAAGTGTTCTTAAATCATGAGCAAGAAACGATCCCCTATACAATAAATGTGTTTAAATGTACCAGACCCAGAATGCTGCTCAACTGTCTAATCCCACTTAACTGAACTGGTCCAGATCTTCTGCACTTACCCAGAGATGCAGTGGAGGTCATAAAAGCCTGACAAGTGAGAGCTTCCTTTCTTCTATGTCAACATCCCAGGCATGTTCCAGAGATTTAAAAATCAAGACTTCTTTAGTGTGAAAAATTATAAACATTTTAAAAAAAATCAATCAATTTCCTAACCCACAACTTCTTGTGCTCGTTGCAGGAGAAGGGCAGAAGCAGTGGGTGTGTCATCATCCCCAGGAATGGACTGCGCAGCCGGGAGTGCACAGTAAGGCTCTGGCTGTGGCCCTCCAGCTGGAGAAAATGCAGCCCTAAAAAGCTGCTCATGGGAACAGCTAGGTCAGATAACAAAAGCTGAGCTCCTGTTCACAGCTGAGCTCTTGTGTCAGCCCAGGGCAGGAAGGCACCAGACAGTTTACTGATGGGATTTGGCTTAGGAGTAAGGCAAAGGCTGCCTCACCTGGTCTCCTCACCTGTCCACCACAGCTCCTCCATGATAAAGTCACTGGTAGAATGGCCCTGTGGCAGAGAAGTCAACATTAGTCCAGTTTATCTAAATGTCTCAGGCAGAAGGGGGGTCTGGAGACAGAGATAAGGAAGGGACACATGCAGCCTTTCAGCACAGACAGAGAAGGGCTATCCAGCACAGGGCAAGCCTGTAAGGAGAGAAATGTCAGATCCCAGTCTTCCCACACAAATGCTTTAGGGGATCAAATATTTACACATCATTTACCAGATTACACCTACCCTGGCTATTCTGTACAGAATGTGGAATTTATTTATTTTTTTATTCCCTACAGATTCCAATAGAAACAAAATTTTAGACTTAATTTCCTAAGTATAACATCCTCCAGCAACACAATGTCACAGAAGAATGTGGATGAAGCTGTGATGAGCATGAAGACAGAAGGATACTTTCAAATACCTTAAGAAGAATTTACTACATGTAGTTATGTTCCAGGTTTTGAAATGGGCTTGTTAGTCTTTATGTGTCTCTGTATATATAAATGTATTTATGTATATATAGAGAGGTTAAAATCACACAGATTTTCTTATTTCATACCACAGTTTGTAGACAATCTGTACAGTTACTTGAGAATCTATAAATATTTGAAATCTTATATTGGATACCACAGAATAATAGTTAAGACTGATATTTTATCTTCAGCATGTATATAACTTGAATAAAGTTTCTTGATGGTTTGTAAGATATTTAGTAGACTGAGTTAAACTTGCTCTCAGCTTACTACCCAAGCATAAGCACAGTGTACATAGTGACTAATGTATCTAATTATGAAGATTATTCAGGAAAGACACAGGATTTTCAGATCAAAACATGATGAATTGGTTTGTATTGGGCTTGTGTGAAGTGCACATTTATAGTGAACCATTGTATATACATATGGAGTGAATCACCTTGGTTTCAGTGAGTCTATGGCTGCATTTGTCCATGCATCATCAGGGCAGCTCAGAGTCAGTGAGAGCAGCCTGTGACAGGCACTGGCCCCAGAGCCTGCCTGGAGGAGCTGTGGGTGTGGAGCTGCCAGGGGAGCAGGCTGAATTGCCTGGATCCATGGACAGATGAGCATAGATCAGCTCAAAGGATCTACTCTGATACTCTGCACAACTGCTGTCAATTAACCCCTGCTGGAAGCCTAAGGCTTGAAGATGAGCTACATCACAGCTTCCAGAGAAGAGCACCCAATGCCCGCAGTGACAGAACTTTTAATTTCTCATAGCAAGTGCTAGAGGTATAAAAATCTTCAGCCTAAAGGAAAATTGAACAATTCCTGAAGTCTGAAAGAAACAGCACTCTGAAATCACAAGACTTTTTGGTTTTCAAAGCCTGGTTTTGACTTTCAGTCAAGCTGGAGTGGCCAGAAATGTGCATTTGGACTTGAAGAACAGCTGAAGGTAAGGAGAAAGTGTTCTGTACTACAGTTTTTGTCTTCAGAGTATGCAGGTGTTAAAAACAAAATCTGCTAAATATTTTCATCCTTTTTATATTATTTTTTAAAATCTGGAGTTATCTGATGAGAACCAAGCTCGGAGTCAGTATTAAAATTGAGGAGATTTTGAATATAGAAAGAATTAGAAGAGCTTGAAGACAGAAGTAGACAAATTCAGCTTTCAGGAAACACTCACGCATTTGCAGACGAATAACAAGCTGTGTTTCTGTGGTGGGTGATCATTGCCTGACGTGGTGTGGGAGATGTGGCCCTTGGTGGCATCACCCCCAAGAGATGCTGCTCCCTGCAGACACCAGAGGGATGGTGAGAGCTGCTCATACCAACCACTGTTCTTCTGAGTGTGCCACGGCAGATTCACTGCCAAGTGCGTGTCGTGGGGCAGATCATCAGCACAGCAGTACCTGCAGACAGGTACAATTAGCACACTGCCAAAGTGCCCTTCCAATGCAGTCTTCCAAAAAACATAGAGCATAACACCATTGATCTTTCCAGAACAAGAAAGTTATTTGGTCACTACAATATAAAAAAGACATTAAACTATTAAAGAGTGTCCAAAGATGGTGAAGGACCTTGAGGAGAAGCCATGTGAGCAGTGGCTGAGGTCACTTGGTCTGTTCAGCCTGGAGGAGACTGAGGGGAGACCTCACTCAGTTACAACTTCCTCATGAGGGGAAGAGGAGGGGCAGGCACTGATCTCTGCTCTGTGGTGACAGTGACAGGAGCTGAGGGAGTGGCCTGAAGTTGTGTAGGGGATGGTTTAGACTGGATATTAGAAAAAGGTTCTTCATCCAAAGGGTGGTTGGGCACTGGAACAGCTCCCCAGGGCACTGGTGACAGCACCAGCCTGACAGAGTTCAATGTTCTTGGGCACATGGGGTGACTTGCAGGGATGGTGCAGGGCCAGATTTGGACTTGATGATCCTTGTGAGTGCCTTCCATCCCAGCATATTCTGTGATACTGTGCAAAGCACAGGGGAAATTTCACTCTAAATACTCTGAACTTCAGGACTGAGCTCTCCAGTTCAAGAAAGATGAAATCAAATGTAAATGAAGAAAATTGCTATGAGGATCTTGGTAAAATGGAGAGCCTGTATCTAAGGACTGGCAAAAAGAGAAATAGATACAGGGATTTAACCTAGGATAGAGGAAAAGTTATGCAACATAAAAAAATAATTTGTCCTGTAAGGGGGAAAAATGAACTGGCCCAACTTAAACATTAACAAGATATTAGAAGATGGTTCCTCATTTTTACAATGGTGAGATCCTTTCCAGCTGGAACAAGAGGAGCAAAAATCTAAGCTGCTTTTAGGATGAGATGTAAAAATGTTCATGAAAATCATGATACTACATCATACCAGTGTAATATGAACTGTCAGACTCAAGCTGCTCTTTTCAGTCCTGTGCTCACATGCACCTATACAGACCCAGGCAAACATCCCTATCAAAAGCAATATATGAAGTGTAGTATCTGGTGGAATCCCACATATTGCACTTCAAAACTATATGGGATTTTTGGACAGACTTCAGGTTAATAAAAAAGATTATTTTCTAAATTGCACATCTCAGAACAATTAATTTCTATACTAATGACTTTTCTGACACAGCACAGTGCCACAGAGGATAAATCTTCCTTCCGATACTATTCACCTTAAATGGACATGGTACATAGACAGCCTTGGCCAGAGAGCTTTGCACTCCCATGTCACACATCCCTACCAGCTATTTGCCATGTTCTTAAATCACCCTACTCCTTCTTTTTCAATGTTGTACCAGCAGCAATTGAACATCTGATGCTTTATGAGATATTCTCTCCAGGTACTGGTTATTTCTGCAACTCTCTGTTATTCCAATACTAGCATTTTTCTCTAATGCAGATTATAACATCTTGTGGGACACTGTGCTGATGCTGACTGCTCTATTTTTGAGACAGGGACCTTCAGAAACCTATTTGGGTTTATAAACATCCTGCACTGGCCGCTGTTGCTACTCAGTTAGAACACTACCATACACTGAGTTTTAGTATTTTACTCAGGAATTAATCAAAAAGGCAAATTCCATACCTGCTTTTTGGAGAGCTGACAGGTATCATGTTAATACCTCATCACATATCCTAAGCCTATTTCTCTTCAGCAGAGTACAGACACTTTGTAACTAAATAACAATTTTACAGACAGAAGAGGAATGGAAAATGGAGAAGCCACAGAGCCAGTGATGTTTAAGCCTACTCAAGCCTGATTATCACTTTGCGGTGAAAAGTGAAATACAGAAACAAAAAATTGTTTGTTCAATGTCTTAGGCCCAATGGAGAGTGGATTATAACACGCAAACCCATATTTTTTCCATTTCAAACTGAGTTCCTAAGAAGGAAGAAGTATCTTAAGCACTGCTGTACCAAAATGCTACTCACAGTTCCCCATTCCTCATCACTGTGCTCAATGTGGAGAATTTGTTCTCTCAGTCTGTATGCATTGCTCCCTTCTGCTTCCTAAGAAGATGCCTGAAAGTTTACCTGGCCCAGAAATGGCAAAGGACATGTTGAGCTACAATCATCAGCACTTACATGGTTTTATTTAGTGGAGGAAATAATTCATCATAAATTATCTTGAAGGTGTGTTCAAGCATTGGCTGTCACAAATAAAACTGAAGAAAACCCTTGATGACTGACACATACTTCTATTTAGTTACTCATTTGGGGTTTTTGCCCTAAGAAGTTATGCTGAAGTTCTTTGGTGAAACATTTCTACATAAAAATGGAAATGTCCCTGCCTGCCCACAGACATTACCACTCTTCCCATGACCAGAAGTGTATCACACTGAGTCCTACTGGCACTCAAGAATCACTTGAAGTGTATTATCAAAATTGCTCACTGAAGTTTCATAATGGCTGAGCTAATTTACCGGCTTCCTGCTGCTATTCCACCCACACATTTCTGGATGCATGCTGCATTTTTAAATACCTTAACCTCTTGCATTTGTGAACTGAGTCTACACTGAAAATAAATTTTAAAAAAGAAAAAATTAATGCCTCATACTCAAGAGAAAAAACAGATCCAATTTAGAGTATGGAAAGTTTCTAAAGTTGGTGTCTCATGGCTAAGTCAAGAATAAAAGGGGATTTAAACATCCTTATTTTCACTCACATTGCCCAAACTCAGCCAGTTCAGTTTGCAAACTGGACAGTGTGAATCACCAGTGTGAGTATAATACATCTGAACAGAAAAGCTCAAAACCTCACAATTGTGAAGGGACAATTACTGTATCAAGATGATTTATGAATTGCTAAGAATTGTTTTTAACACTATAAAATAAATACGAAGGGAAATACAACTTGTATAATGCTCATATTTACTTTAGAAATCTAATCAGGATGAAAATGAATCCAAACCTTGCACTACAGCATTTCTCTGCTGTACTGGACTCTGTGTCATACATACAAAAACTTCAAACTTATTTCCCATACATTCAATATTCCATTGCAGCTCCAATCCACAGTGCTCCTCCAGTTTGCCAGGTTTGACAGGACCTTCTGCTGTGAACCTGAGCCTGCTTTTGTCAGCAGCCCAGCAAAGCACACAGAGAGAAACAACTCAAAATCAGACACAAGTTTTACAGAGCAGAAAACAGTCTAAGAAGATAGGGGTGTTCTCAGACTTGATCCGCAGGGAAAGCATATCCACAAATGTGTTTTTGAGAACACCTGACTTCCACACCTGACCTCCACTAAGGGGAAGACAGTTTTCTCCCTTGCTATGTGTGCAAATTCAAAAGTGGAGTTAGGTAATAGTGGAGTTACTTCCATTTCAGTTTGTAACAATCAGTTTTTGACAGTCTTTGAGAGCAGGAAGTGAAAAGAAATGGAAAATTCATCCAGTAAGGTTTTATAATTCTCTTGGATCAGACTAAAAAAACACCAAAACATAGTTTTAATTCTTTTTAGAAGAAAAATATGACTTATCACATGTAGGTAACCAGTCTTTAAGTTAACAGTATTAAAAAAACCCTACCACAAACAGAAAGTATAGTTCTCACAATTGGTCCCCTGGTTATAAAGTATGCATGGCTGCAGGCAACTCTTTAAGCAAAGTTACAGATAGAATCAAGGATAAAGTGTAAGGAGACAAGCATCTAAAGCACAGATGTTTTCAGGCCATCTGCTGATGCCCTTTCATTCCATGGTGAACACAAACCATCTCAAACTCTTTGTCATTGCTTATGTGACATTGTTAGAGCAACCTGCAATGGCTGACAGATTTAAATGTCAGAGTTCTCTTTAAAGCCTGAGATCCGCTTGGCAATGCTTCAGGAAGGAGATCACTGCCACAGACAAGGATATTTATTCAAAATAAACATAATTAATCAAATTCAAATGTTTGTCTTTACAGTAAGAAAGAATCCAAAGAAATCACATCTCACCATTTCTAACTCTGTCAATTACACAATTAAATACAACACATGAATTTTGTAACCTCTCAGTAAAATGATCAAGTACTTATAAAAAAACCAACCCAACCAACAAATCAAGGGAAAAAACACCATAAAACATACACAAAACCCATAAACTAATTGAAAAGACAGTTAACACAGGGTTTGAAGCAGAGGAAGCATTTTTAAACTTTGTAAATATGGAAACATCAACGGTGCCCTTAGTTACATAGGTAATAGATTTTTATATATAATCTAATCCAGATTTAATAATTTAAAAAATATATTTAAGTCTTCCTCTTACAAGACAACATAGAAATTTGACTCAAGTCCAAGACCTGCCTACATAGCATGACTTTTCAGCTAAGTTCTCTATCACAGACTTTTGGTCCATGGTCATTAACCAGCTCAAGGGATCCCACTGATTTTTTGGGTAATACATCATTGTCCCTATGACATATGTCACCTTTGTTTCAAATATAGAGGAAAAAAATTCTCATGCACTGTCTACAGTGACAATGATAGAGATACATTCATCTCCACTGCTTCTTGATAGAGCAAAAACTGCTGTTTTCCCCTAATCAATTCATCTGCCTCAGCATTTTCAGGAAAGCACTTTAACAGTAACTTCAATAGCTTTGGACACATAACTATTTTGAACTCTTCATGTGGGTCAAGAGATGCGAGAACACAAAGCAGAAGCTTGCAACCTGACTTACTTCAAAAACACAGCAGGGTGGAAAGAGTTGCCTCATTTCTTCATCACCTGTGACTGTGGGTAGTGGCTCATTCCAGAATGTCTGATTTTCCCAAACCCAGACCAGGGTGGGGTGGACACACAGCCCTCCCTCGGGACACCACGCGTGTCCCAGCACAGCGAGCTGGCAGCTGGAGCCCTCTGAGTCCCTGCAACGCAGCTGGGCTGGGCCTGAGCTCGGCTTGGCAGAGGCCAAGGACAAGAACGTGACACGCAGCTTTCCTCGCAGATGAAGGACAAGAATGTGACATGCAGCTTTCCTCACAGATAAAGGACAAGGATCTGACACGCAGCTTTCCTCAGAGATGAAAGACAAGAATGTGACACGCAGTTTCTTCGCAGATGAAGGACAAGGATCTGACACGCAGCTTTCCCCGCAGATGAAGTCACGTGCTGTAACATAAATGTGCCTCCTCCCAGTCAACTTCACAGTGACAGAAAGGGTCCTCAAAAGTTCCTCATGTGTTTGTTAGTTACTGAAAGAAAAGAATGCTGGCAGAGCCATTTTTGCCTTCACGTGCACAGAAACAGTAAATTTTCAACCAGCCCATCTCATAGCACACTATCACAATCAGCCTCTTTTTCTTCACCACTGTATTTTATTTAAAATTACTTCGTTTTCAGGGCAACCAAACCAAATAACTCTCTCTTAGAAAGAAGTATGTTACAGCTAAGCAGATTCTCAAGCAGTTGACACTTACTAGCCATTTGCATACCCCAGAATTTATTTGTATCCCGTCTCTAAAGAAGAATTTACTTGAAAGGCAGTCTAAAAGATTTGGCCGTGGTCACAAGGAAATCAATGGCAGTCAAGAACAGAATAAATCTAAAGAGCCCTTGCTCTACCAATTAAAAATATGAACTTTAGACATAAAAATACAAAATTTGGAATGTTGCACTGTCACAGCTCTTTCATAAATTTAACACTTATGAATCTGGAAAATAATTTTTATAAAATAAAAAGTAACATTGAGACTTTAAGATGGCTCAGATTATTTGAAAACAGTAGGAAACTACAAACTTTAAAAAAATCCCAAAGGACTTAATCTAAAAGCACCACTGCCAGAAATGTGGCATTTGGAAAAACAATGGTTTAGTGCAAATACTGGTAAGAAATGGAAAGATAAACACTCCAACCAACCGACAGTACTGTCTTGTTAGTGCCTGCTTCTGCTACCAGCTGCACTAAAAAGGAACCTTCTCATTTTATATTATGTTTCTCTTTAAATGCATTCTCACAAAACAAAAATATTGGACAAAAACAGACCTAAAAGCCTGCTTTTATATTGCTAGTTTTTGAGAAAAGCAAAACACCTAATGAGTGACTGTTCAGCTAAACCCGTATCACAAAACCAAAACAGATAAATAATGTGTACCTTTTTATTTCTACACATGGGATTTCAGACCACTTTTCTCATATTATCCAAATGGGAAGTTCTCCTACTGTACACATTACATAAAGTAAGAGAGGCAAATGTGGCTTCCCTGCCTAAAAGAAGCTGCTTTTCATGGACATGGCAAGCCAGTTCACAGCCACTTCCACACAAACACAGCCATAGGTAAACACAGTAGTTTGAATTCAACTCCACTGAGTAGCTTACATGTAAACAGAACCCTCTGAATCAAAACTAGCTTTAAAACAAACTCCAAAAACTCAAAAAAAAAAACCAAACCCAAAACCCACAATACATGGTTTCATGCAACAGAACCCTCTGAATCAAAACTAGCTTTAAAACAAACTCCAAAAACTCAAAAAAAAAAAAAAAGAAAACAAAACCCACAATACATGGTTTCACGTCATGCCCAAAGCTCTATCTTTGATAGATTCATTTTGATGCATAAAGAAAAAAATGGAAAAGCTGGAATGTGGTAAATGCAGAATTCTGCATGTCTGATTTCTAGTGCCAAGAATTAATTACAGCCTGAAATCCTCATGAGTAACAGTAAATAGCAGTAGGAGAAATATTAAAAGTTCCTTTAATATTTCACTACATTGCTGTTTAGAAGGTATATGTGTTGAAATGGTGTCCCAGAACTATGTGTATGTTAACTTCATATAAAAACTCACCACATTTACAACCATATTTCAATTTAATTATTGTACACAGGTTAACAAAAACACTGGGTTTAACGAAAACAATATTCAGAATGGTACAACACGTGTTCATCTTCTCCAGGAAATAATATTACAAGTGATCATCTTAGGACAATTTAGCCACACTAGCAACAGGAGTTCTGTTAAAATGCAACTGTGGTCTACTAAGCCACTTATTTTAGCACTACAGAGTATTTTGAAGTTAAGAGTCCTACAGCCAAGGCTTAAAAATCGTTTAAGATTCAAACCTCAAAATGTCTTACAGTCAAAATGACAGTATTCTTAAAAAACCACAACAAAATAACCCCAAAATGATTAATTAAAAGGCTTCTGTATTTAGTTTTACCCTCTTCATGGCATTCTCTATTCATGTAGTTGCTTGTATCATTGGTAATAGGGTCTGTATCTGGCTTGATCAGGGTGATGTGGTCCAGGAAGGGGGGCCTGAGTAGGAGGCCCTTGCATCCTTGGAGGTGGAGGCGGCCCCCTTGGAGCTGGCCATATCCCTGGACTCATTCCCCCAGGCTGTGTGAAAGGGGGACTGAGAGTTCCTTGATCTTCACTGAACTGTGGCAAAGAGTTGGGATTATAGTGATGGGGAGGGGGAGCGTTTACATTGACGGGCGGGCCCCCGTGCTGCGGAGGGGGAGGTCCCGGGGGAGGATGGTTCATGTAGGGGGGCATCTGGGCAATGATGTGTCCGGGCGGGGGGGTTATGGGCGGCGGGGCAGAGGTCATGGGCGGCGGCGGGGCCTGGCTGTACACCATGTGGGGCGTGCCTGCCGCCTGCGGAGGGTGCTGCAGCGGGTGGCTGATGGGCGGAGGCGGCGGCGGGGGCGGCGCGTAGTGCTGCTGGGGAGGCATGATGTGATGAGGGTGCGACACCACCGGCTGACCCTGGTACTCGGGATGATGGTGAGCAGGTGCGGGCGCTGGCGGAGGCGGCTCTCGAGCGCCTGAGCTGGAATCATCCTGGATGGGGACAGTTATTAAGTTGCTGTGTTTCCTGGTGGAGATGCGGAAGGTGTCCTGAGCGACGGGGCGGGGGGGCGGCGGAGCCATGGACATCTCTGCGGGAGGAGCACGGATGTCTTCGTGGGGCTGGTTGTAGTGCTCGTGTGGCACGTGCTGCAGAGGAGGCGGTGGCATCATGATGTGCTGCTTTGGCGGAATGTGGCTCATGTGATGCTTCTCAGGGGGCATGATGAAACGCTCGGGAATTTCGGCCGGCGGCGGGGCGATAGGAGGATGCACGGGCTCGATGGGAGGACGAGTAACAGGCTTGCCAGCTCTCATGTGACGGTGGTTGATGTGAGCTTGTAAGTCCCTCTGTGACAGGTAAGTTCTCTTGCATCCTTGAACAATGCTGCACATGAAGAGAGACCCTCGTACACACTGCTCAATTCGCTGCACGGGTTCGTTACAGCTAAATAAAAAGAGAATATTGATTTATTGTCATCACAGGGAGCTCAACATTCACTCTTCCTTGTGAATGTAATTAGCCAAATTAGAACTGACAATTTTTCCCCACTGTAGCAATGAAAGAAACTTCAATGATTTTGAAGTTTACATAGTTTATAAATATAGAAATGTAACTACGAAAGGACATAAAAATGTCATGAGGTAGAATTTTTAAGTAGCATCTCTCAAATTCTTCTGTGCATTAAAACATAACATGGATCATTTTCACTAAGTAAATCAAACTGTCATTAATTCCTTTTCAAATTACAGCAATAACAGATTACCTATCAAAAAACAATAAAGTAAACACTGATCTCTTACAATCCCAAAATATGGAATGGGAACTAGAAAGTTCAGAGTACTCTACTGCCCCTGCTAAATGTACATAAATAAGAGTTGTGTTAATAGAGTATCTGAAATAAGATATGTAAGTTACTTTCTTACATTTCCTTTACTAACAAATCTTGAGATAACTTACCCTGGACACATCTTGTCTCCCTTTTTCTCATGTAGTATAGCACAGTCATAGCAGAAAACATGCTTGCAAGGTATCTAGAAATAAAAAATTGCTGTTAAGACATGGCATATAAATATCTATGTCCATTCTGCAGAATACAGTTCCTCCCTCCAGTACACAGTTTATAACATTAAAGTAACTAAGTTACTTATGAGGTGAACAAGCACAGCAGTAGTTAACAATTTACAGTATCTTCCACAGCAACTTTCTAGAACAGTTTATGCTGAGTTTGGGGTTTTTTGGGATACTGTAGTTTGGGGTTAAGTGTTGGTAAAAAGCATTGGCAGAAGTTTGAGTCTTGCACTATTACCAACACTGAACTTTCACAGAAGCTGCATATGCAATCTGATTACACTTGTCTTGCTGGCAAGGAAGGAAAGTTTTAAAAGCATTAACTGTCATTAAGTCAGAAACTGAAGCCTGTTACATCACACATATAAATCTAAATTAATCTCAGGGATTTTTAAAGGTACATAAAAGTGAACAGTGTTTTACAACTTCACTGAAAGTCTTCAGCTGAGATAAAAAGCTTATTTTCAAACCTAAGTGGTTTAAGGTCAGAACCCCAGAACCTGAAGGTTTTTTCTGTTGTGATGGTGTTCTGTTTTTTGTCTAACATTTTCAGGCTTACTTTATTGAATCAGGGGGATAAAGCAAAATCAGTCAGACAGATGGAACAAAAACACTTGAGCAGTGAAGGCCTCCAGGTCTATCCTGGTACTATTCTGCGTTTATTCAGATGCCCGTTGAAATCAGAAATCTCTAGAAGCCTCACACAGACACAGTAAAACCTCATTTTATCTAAAGGGAATCCATGGCTGAATCTTCCACTGGCAATTTCACTCACCATGCGTCCATACATTTTGATGGGCAATCCACACTTATCACAGAAATGGACAGGTGTATCATCCTTTTCCCCCAGCAGGTTTATCTGGTAGGACAGAGAAGGGGGTGAGAAAACAAACCCCAATGTCACTAAAGCTTCCCATTTCAATTATCATCAACATACCCATTATTTCTGAATTGGTTGAAAAGGAAGCAAGAATGCCACACCAGGAGAAAGCAGAGGAGGTAATTTTTAGTCAAACAAAAATAACTGAGAACCTTTTAATTAACAAAGTATCTACCAGGACTATCTACAGCATGGTATGAAACACAGTCAGAGATCCATGACTTTACCTTATAATCCCAAAAAATGGGTCCAGGAAATCTCCTTTGATTGCCAAACATTTCACCTCCTTTACATTCGTATCGCTCCTCCTTGTTATAATCAAATTCTTCTGTGGAAATGAGAAAGAGAAGAAAGACACGAGCCAACCACAACACTTTTGTAATTGACACCAGCCGCTATTAAGAGCATGGGTCATTTTTACTGAAATCATCAAAAAATGCCACCGCACTTCCAATCTGCTGAGCCCATTCTACAGAAAGGTAGAACCAAAGCAGTAAGACAGCCTGTTCTGGAAGTGGGCACTACTGAAGCCCTACAGTGCAGCAGTACTTGGAGATTTGAAACTTGGTTTGTGTTTGGACAGAACCCCTTAAAGTCTCTGAGAAAAGTCTGAAACAATGCTGTAGAATAATACATTTCCCTACTACAGGGAATTTATATGAATTTACCTTCATCACCAGCTTGTGTCTTCGCAGGCATCCTGTTCATATTTCTTGGAGTTCGAGGTGCAGGTTTGGTTTTATTGGTCTGTTTTGAAATTAGCTTTATAGGGATTCTTCTACGGACATCAAGACCACCCAATGATCCTGAACTATTTGTTCCTTGCAAATCATTGTCTGTGAAAGAAAATTTTAAAAAGTATAGGTTTTTTAAAATTTATCTAATGGTCTCTAAAGAGGCTAAATATTAACAGAAATATTTTAAGAAAAATAATATTTAAAGCTTGCTTAAGACTCCTACAACATATCAAAATTTCATCACTACAGATAGGTATCTTCACAGACAATTTATTCCAGAAATCACGTAAAAAAAACTGCATTGTGACCAGCAACGAATTTAGGAAACCTAGTTTAAAAATAAAGCTATTAAAATGACCTAGCTAGTCACACATTTTTCCACCACAGAAACATTAACCTTACAGCTCTTCTCACAGTGTGAAGAGCACTGGAGAGTCAATTCTTTGTACCACCTTAATTACACAGAATTTCTTACATGAAAAGATAATTTTTACAATTTATGTATATTGTTTATTAAAGTAGGAAGGAAACTAGTTCATATATTAACTCAGCATCTTGACATATCACTTAAAAATTTATTATATAGTATCACAAAAATACTGGTACTTAGGAATATGTAGTTGCATGCTTCCTAACCTAAGAATTACTGTCCCCAGCTATATACAAAATTATCCTTAACCAGATTTACATCTAAGTACCAGGGCAAACAAAGCAAGAAATAGCCTGACACATGCATCAGCAGGTACAGCACAGACCAGGTAATGCAACAAGCAACACCAAAGAGGAGGCACAACTCCCTCAACCTCCAGCGAGTTATCTGCAACCACCCAGAGCATCTCATTCATACAAAAATGAAGTTACAAAAATGAAGTTACATCCTTCACAAATCTTCACCGGGATTTTAACTGAAAATGCCACAGGTGTTTCACAGCAGGGCACGTTCAGTCTGGAAGGGGAGAGCCCCGAGCAGTTTCAGCCCTGCAGCTCCACAGGGTAGGGCACTCCAGCCCCGGAATGGCTGCAGAGGCCCCAAAGGATTGCAGTGCAGGATGCTGAAATTAGGCTCATTAGTGTAATTCTGCACAATGCCTCACCAACTGCTGCCTCTCAAAGCCTGCAACCACCACAACGAGTGGCACCATAACAATGCAACAAGTAGAAGGAAAAAAAACCAAGAAAAAACAGGATTGCTCTCAGTTTTTCAGCAGCTACCAGCAGAGCCAGGAAAGGTGTCAGTTCCAAACTGCCCTGACAGTCCTGTCCCTCCAAACCAAAAGCCCTCAGCTTCCTCAGAGAGACCAAACTCCTCTTAGAACTATGGTTTCACTCTAAAAGGCAATATACAAAAAGGCAAAAGCAATAAAATTTGTTTTTACTTCTGGTCATTTGTTATTTCTTTCAGGTGAACTTGCAAACACTGAACTATGTCATCAGGCCTCCCCAGGGAGTGCTTGACCAAGGCATCAGAGGTAAAGCCACTTGTTTTCCACATGTTGGGAAATTCTGTTTTCTACCAGAATACACAAAACCACAGCACCATAAACCACAGAGTCTCTGCAGCAACTCAGTCCATTTGTAAACAAGGATAACCAAAAAGAATTTTAAAAATCAAAAACCTATTTATTAGTTAATCCAGTGAACTGTCAATAGGTTCTGTCACTTTTCCTCCTTATATCCTTTCAAGCCAGGAATATTTACATGAGTTAGCTGCTTAACTAACCCAACCTAGCAGGTTTATTAGTCACTCATGCTTCACGGAAGGATAATAAATTCCAGTCTGCAGGAGCACAATTTGCGGGATAATGTCCAGAAAAAACTACAAGAAACATACCAAACTTGTTGAGACTACTTAAAGAAGCTCTAATTAGAGGTGATGCAGCCTACTGAAATGTCACCTTCATCAACTTATGCTTTATTTTTGCATTTCTAGCTTTATTAAAATTCACAAATACAGCTCAAATACTTCACAGGTAAGAGTCATAACGCAATCTTTTGTAAGGGAAAGGAAAAAACCTCTAAAACCACCGTAGCACGAAGCCCAGGTCCATTCATACATTCACTGCGCTACGCCAGCGCATTAACCAGCAAAGGAGCACAGCTACGCCAGCGCGCTCACGGGCAAACGACATTTAAACCACGAAATCGAATTTAAGCACAGGAGGAAGTTTCCTCTCGGGCCACAAACACGGAATCAGGAAACACATTATGGACACCGATGCCGGGGAACGCGGCGGGCACACGCGCGTCTCTCCCACCTCCGGCACCTCACGGGCCGCATCCGGGGCCGCCGGGCCGGGACACCCCGGACACCCGAGCCCGGCCCGGCNTGTGGGAGCGGAAGGGCGCGGCCGGAAGCGGCGGCGGCGGCGCGGGCGGGGCGCGGCGCTCCGGGCCGGCGGAGCGGGAGGCAGAGCAGGCCCGGCGTGCGGAGCCGCCGCCCGCTGGGACTGGGAGGCCGCCCCCCGGGTTTTGGGGGAAGGATGGAGTGAAAACGTGCTCAGGAACCATGGGTTCAGGAGCCGCGGAGGCCCCGCCGGCCGGCTGCGCGGTGCAGGCTCCAGGCGCCGGGGCGATGTGAGGCCGCGGCGCGCTCGCGGCTGCTGCTGGTCAGGCTTCAGCTGCAGCCCGGAACGGGCGGATTGCTGACACTGTGCCAGTGAGGGAACTGTGCATCTCCAGAGCACTCGGAAGCTTCACAGCAGAGTTCACTAGGCAGGGGAGGACTTGATGTTAAATTTAGCATTTTGTAATTCTTGTGTAATTCACTGCGATGGTGAAGAGTAGCGCTGAAGATAGAAAGAAAATAAAACGAAGTCGTAGGTTTTAAGTAGAAAATGGCCTCGAGCAGTCCTTCCACAGCCCTGAAGTACGGGTAACTCTACTCCATGCACTTCACATTGGTGATTGTCTCACTAAAAGCCTCCCGGGTTGGGATCTTGTGCCCCTACAGACAATGTCTCTCATTATCTTTACAGCCTTAACATTTAAAAGCTACCATTAAAGTCTAACATTTCTTGTCTTACCCGCACAAGGCACAGGGAACAGGTTTTCCCTTTTGTCTTTGTTGTTCCTCAAAACAGACCCAAGGGAAGAGTGACACTGATCCCTTCATAATATGCCTTACCTCCCCATAATAGGAATTCACAAAGAGAAGACTTAAAAACCCAAGACTAAAGAAGAAACCCCCAAACATACAGACACAAGGAGCACAATTTCAGTATGCACAACTTTATTTTCTAGTTAATGGGTACAATTACTTTTCAAATGCAGCTTTTTAAAAGTGTAAAAAAACTTAAAATACATCTCCAAATTTGATATTTGACATGCAACGACAGAACAGGAATACTCAAAATGCATACAAAAATACCACTTCTTCATCCTACTGGAAAAAGATAAGCACATCTACTTAAAGATATTTTATTTAGTAAAAAAATGTAGAGAATTTTAGCTTCATTGCAAAATCCAGTATTTTGATATCCTTAATTTTGATGGATACATGGAAAATCAAGCACTTAACCAGTGAGAAAGGCATTTGGATGCATTCTGCATACTACCTCTTACTCTTCTATGCCACTGTAGGCTTTGAGAGAAATGCTGTTTTTCAGAAAAAGTTTAATATTTTGGGCCTGTTAAATTAAGAACAACCATGCCTGGAAGAAATACACCGGCCAAGAATAAGTGCATTTTATCATTTTATCACAATCCCAGATCAGATGTCCTATTTGGAAAAGAACTGGAAGACAGTTGTTGAGTACTTAATTGCTTTTTAAATACCTGTACAGACAAGAACTAGAGAAATTTCAAAAATAATGTAATGACATATCTGTCAAGTAAGAATCTGTACTCAAACTTCACAGTGCAGATGTTGCCTTGAGGGAAAAAAAAATTACTGCTACCATTTTTTTACCAACTTTTCTCTAGACTGTGCCCTGCACAACAATTAGCTGAAAGCTCACTTGCCAGGTAGATTATTTTACTTTTTACTTAAAATGTGCATCTAAAAAACATGTTACTGGCTTGTGCACTGGCAACTGTTCCAGCAGTCAGGATAACAGGAGCTGGGCCATGGCCTGATGGGGACCTGAGGCCAGTAAGGTGGGCTGGAGTGCCAACCCCCTGTGAGAGGCTGGCAAGGGGACAGGAGGAGGACAGGTAGAGTTCAAAGCATGAATTGTCAAATGACAGGCTGGGCTGAAGCAGCAGTGCCACCAGAAATGAATGGTTCCATCTGAAGAGGGGCAGAGTGGTGTGATTTGCCGCTTGAACCCTTGCCCCATTCTCAGACGGTGGAGATGCCCACCCCATGGACAAAAGGCCCATGTCCATTGTGAGAATCCTGCTGTTTGCTGGCTTGGACTGGAGCACCAACATCTCCTAAGTTCAAGTGCCTGTACTGAGAAACTTCACTGTTGTGAAGGCTGAAGTCAGTGCCTTAACAAGAGAATACACATTTTAGTTTGGTGCTGTTACCTGTTGTGTAAGATACTGTCCAACTGGCCAAAGTTTATAGGATTTTTTTTTCACAGATGTTAACAGAGTTCACTTAGGTCCTGAAGCCAGAATAATTTATTTAGTGCTTAGCTTTTCCACTACTCCCTGCAGCAGAAATCTCTGTGCAGTGTAATGTGAGAAAATTTCTCTGATGTAATCAAGTAAGGAGAATTAAATATACTGAAGGTAATTTTCCACATTGTTGAACTTAAAGGCATTTTATACCTGGACATTTCTTACACTTCTGGCCATTTCTTACACTTCAGTTTTTATCTGTTTCCTTACAATGCAGGGTTTTTTCCCATTTAAAAATAATGTAATGCTAAAAAAATTAAGGTAGCAGTCTGTTTTCCATCAAAATACATTTCTTCTTCATGAAAACTAAGAACATTAGTTAAGGATTAAAATTTTGCTGCTCAAATCTTTATCTTTTGTAAATTATTGCACTTGTGCATTATGAACTTTCATATGTAAAAGAACAGCAGCAGCAGCAGTTTGATGTAGATTATTAAAAGAAAAAATCTCTATAAAAATATAACTATTCATTAAACAAAAAATACACCTATATTCCATTTTTAAAAAACCAAATGTCAATACTAGGTCACATTCTGACTTTCTTGCTTACACTCAGTATCAGCCTGTTTACAGATTTCATTAAGTACCCAGGGACTAAGGTTTTCCTTAATTTATCTTATGATCTGCCTCTTGATGAAGATTATGTAACCTAGCCAAAATAATCTTCTGTCTGTCCTTCATTTAAGGGACAATCATTAATAGTAGTGCAAGACTTGCTACAATGGGATTAGTACAGAACTAATGAACCCATGTCCACGGGTCTTTAGAAACTTTTCCTATTTGAAATATTACTGTAGTTCAGTGCTGTTTCCTGTTCATGTGACAGTTTCACCTGCCACCTCAGTGATTTAACTACCTGCAGCAATTCAAGGAATTGCTTGAAAAAAATGATCATGATACATTTTTTGAGGCTTGCCAGCACATATTACCATACTAATGCTCTAGAATTCAAAGCCTTGGCCAGCTAGAACTCCAGCCCTTCCACTAGGCTTTGTATAAATATTGAACAAAAGGCTTGACATCTGAAAATTTTGGTCTCTTTCACTCTCCTGGGCAGACCACAGAGCAGCTTTTCATCCTGTACACACTGATAAAAGTGTAGTGCAACTTCTGCCTGACTAGTCTCAAAACTAAGTACATCTTTCACAATAGTCTTCTGATTTTCTTTTTTATTAATACATATCATAGCAGAAAGTGCTTGCAGAATCAAGGTCCAGAATATTTCTGGGATAATGCTAGCTAAAATTTGGAGTTATAGAGATCTGTATCATTCAGACAAACAATCAGGGTTTTCTTCAAGTGCAAAGATTGGTTTCATAGCAGAAAATGCTGGTGTGGATAGTACTGGTGCATGGATATTGCTGTGTGCTCACAGGCAGGACAGTGCCAGCAGTCCTTCAGGAGGCAAGTCGGCGCATAGCCTAGAGAAATGGGTTTTGAAAGGTGGAGAGAAACAGGCCGTGGTTAGTTCTCAGTATACACCATCTGGGAAAATTACATGTTTGTGTAAACTAAAACCTCAGTGAAAGTACAAAGAAAGCAACTTCAGTAAACTGTACATGTTGTGCAAGAAGATGTCTGCTGTGTTAAAAGGAGGAATGAAAGGAGAAGGTTGATTATCATTTTGGTCTCTGGTGCCTCAAGCCTTACAAAGTCTTCTTTTAGGCATCCAGCTTGTGTTTAGATCTGTTTATAAGCCTGTGTAAGGCAAAAGTAATCCTAAAGCAAGAGAGATGAGGAGATAATTAAGCAGATATAATCTACTATAATCTCAAGAAAAATGTGACTTCCTCCACCTAGCACTGCCATTCAGTATCCAGAGAGGGTGTGCATTTATGGAGAAGGTACCTGTTGAGGGCCACACTCTCACAGCATGACTCAAGGCTACAGGCAGAGGGATAGACACATTCAGTTCTAAAGTGCATACCTCTTCCTGAACATCAAGTTCATCATCAGGCTGGCTGGCTTCTGTGAACTCTATGGGTTCTTTAGACTCCTGCATGAGTGAAATCTTGGTAGAAAGAAATTAAGAAACATGATGAGTTACATGTTGTCCATATAATTGAATTTATTTTTTTACTCTAAAGTACCTTAAAATAACTTCCACAGCTTAGAAAAGTCTGTTGTTTACTGTTCCTTGACAAAGAGGATGATGATTTACTTCAGCTGAGAGGAACTGATAAATTGCAGAGCCTTTGGGCCTGTCTCTGCTTACATGACTAGTTATGGCTTTGTAAAAATAATAAAATCTATCTTTAAACATTACAAAAATGTTAATGTCTGGCATAAAAATTAGTATGGAAAAGTTATAAAAATAAGAGTCCTAGCCCAGTTAATTATCAGTAATATTAATTTTAATTGCTATTTATTCATAATACTGTAATAGTAATTGCTAGGAAAGGAATTGTGGAGAAAAGAAAGGAGGACATTTTTTGACCATTTTCCTAAAGAGGGCCTTTTAAATGCTACAGAGCATAGCAAATCTCTAAATGCTACAGATTATTCTGGGTATCTGAAAAAAACACAGAATACAATGACGAAGTGCACAGAGAAGGCAGCAGGAATTAACACTAATGTTAATTCTGTACACATCCATGCCAAGCAGAGTGAGACTATGGCTTTGATCAGAAGTCTAGGGAGTGTTGGGAAAGGGAGCAGGGAATGATTATTCAT